CCCCAAAACCAACTGACCCCAAATCCCCATCCCAAAACCAACACTGACCCCAAATTCATGACCCCAAAACCATCTCTTACCCCAAATCCCCAACCCCAAAAGCATTTCTAGCCCCAAATCCTCCACCCCAAAACCTTCTCTAACCCCAACTCCCCAGCGCCAAAACTATCCTTAACCCCAAATCTTTCACCCCAAAACCATCTCTAACCCCAAATCCCTGACCCCAAAACCATCTCTAACCCCAAATACCTCACCCTAAAATGGTCTCTAATCCCAAATCCCTCGCCCCAAAACTGTCTCTAACCCCAAATCTGTGACCCCAAAACCATCCTTAACGCCAAATCCCCATCCCAAAACCATCCTTAACCTCAAATCCATCATCCCAAAACCACCTCTAGCCCCAAATCCCCAACCCCAAATCCCTCACCCCAAACATCCCAAATACCCCAAATCCCTCACACCAAAAGCATCTCTAAGCCTAAATTGGTGACCCCAAAACCATCCTTAACTCCAAATCCCCATCCCAAAACCATTCCTAACCCCAAACCCATGACCTCAAACACCCCAAATCCCTCACCCCAAAACCTTCTCTAACCCCAAATCCTCCATCCCAAAACCATCTCTTACCCCAAATCCGTGACACCAAATCCCCCAAATCCTCCATCCCAAAACCATCCCTAACCCAGGGGGACATGGGGGTGAGTGGACACTGAAATCTTGAGGAACACATGGGGAACCCCAAAAAGATCCCAAAACTCCTAAAAGATCCCCAAAAAACCTGTAAGATTGCCAAAAATTCATGGGGTAAATGGTGCTGGAGAACCTTCTAGAGATGGTGATCCAAGGTGGCCACCTGAAGGAACATCCAGGAGGGCACGGGGGTGAGTGGAGACCAGAACCCCAAAAAGATCCCAAAACTACTAAAATATCCCAGGAAAACCCAAAAAAAGTAATGGGGAAAACAGTGCTGGAGAACCTTCTGGACATGGTCACCAGAGGGACATCCAGGAGGGCACAGGGGTGAGTGGACACTCAAACCTTGGGGAACACATGGAGAACTCCAAAAAGATCCCAAAACTCCTAAAAGATCCCCAAAAAACCCTATTAAAAACCCCAAAAGATCATAGGAGAGGTGGTCCTGGAGAACCTTCTGGAGGTGGTCACCAGAGGGACATCCAGGAGGGCACCGGGGTGAGTGGAGACCGGAACCGAAAAGAGATCCCAAAAATTCTAAAAGATCCCTGAAAACCCCATAAAAAACCCCAAAAGATCATGGGAGAGGTGGTCCTGGAGAACCTTCTGGAGGTAGCCACCAGAGGTCCCATCTGGAGAGACATCCAGGAGGGCACGGGGGTGAGTGGAGACCGGAACCCCAAAAAGATCCCAAAACTCCTAAAAGATCCCTGAAAAACCCCAAAATTCATGGGGCAAATGGTGCTGGAGAACCTTCTGGAGATGGTGATCCAAGGTGGCCACCTGGAGGGACATCCAGGAGGGCACGGGGATGAGTGGAGACTGGAACCCCAAAAAGATCCCAAAAGTCTAAAATATCCCAGGAAAACCCCAAAAAAGTAATGGGGAAAACAGTGCTGGAGAACCTTCTGGAGATGGTCACCAGAGGGACAGCCAGGAGGGCACGGGGGTGAGTGGACACCGGAACCCCAAAAACATCCCAAAACTCCTAAAAGATCCCTGAAAAACCCCAAAATTCATGGGGCAAATGGTGCTGGAGAACCTTCTGGAGATGGTGATCCAAGGTGGCCACCTGGAGGGACATCCAGGAGGGCACGGGGGTGAGTGGAGACCGGAACCCCAAAAAGATCCCAAAACTACTAAAAGATCTCAAAAAAAACCCCATGAAAAACACCAAAAGATCATAGGAGTGGTGGTCCTGGAGAACCTTCTGGAGGTGGTCACCAGAGGGACAGCCAGGAGGGGACGGGGGTGAGTGGACACTGAAATCTTGGGGAACCCCAAAAAGATCCCAAAACTTCTAAAAGATCCCTGAAAACCCCAAAAAACTAATGGGGAAAACAGTGCTGGAGAACCTTCTGGAGATGGTGATCCAAGGTGGCCACCTGGAGGAACATCCAGGGGGACATGGGGGTGAGTGGACACTGAAATCTTGAGGAACACATGGGGAACCCCAAAAAGATCCCAAAACTCCTAAAACATCCCTGAAAACCCCATAAAAAACCCCAAAAGATCATGGGAGAGGTGGTCCTGGAGAACCTTCTGGAGGTAGCCACCAGAGGTCCCATCTGGAGAGACATCCAGGAGGGCACGGGGGTGAGTGGAGACCGGAACCCCAAAAAGATCCCAAAACTCCTAAAAGATCCCAAAAAGACCCCACAAAATATCCAAAAATTCGTGGGGTAAATGGTGCTGGAGAAACTTCTGGAGATGGTCACCAGAGATGTCATCTGGAGGGACATCCAGGAAGGGACGGGGGCACGTGGACACCGGAACCCAAAAAAGATCCCAAAACTCCTAAAACATCCCTGAAAACCTCATAAAAAACCCCAAAAGATCATGGGAGAGGTGGTCCTGGAGAACCTTCTGGAGGTGGTCACCAGAGGGACAGCCAGGAGGGCACGGGGGTGAGTGGACACTGAAATCTTGGGGAACCCCAAAAAGATCCCAAAACCCTAAAATATCCCTGAAGACCCCATTAAAAACCCCAAAAGATCATGGGAGAGGTGGTCCTGGAGAACCTTCTGGAGGTAGCCACCAGAGGTGCCATCTGGAGGGACATCCAGGAGGGCACGGGGGTGAGTGGAGACCGGAACCCCAAAAAGATCCCAAAACTCCTAAAAGATCCCAAAAAACCCCCAAAAATTTATGGGGTAAATGGTGCTGGAGAACCTTCTGGAGGTGGTCACCAGAGGGACATCCAGGAGGGCACGGGGGTGAGTGGACACTCAAACCTTGGGGAACACATGGAGAACTCCAAAAAGATCCCAAAACTCCTAAAAGATCTGAAAAGAACCCCATGAAAAACCCAAAAGTTCATGGGGCAAATGGTGCTGGAGAACCTTCTGGAGGTGGTGATCCAAGGTGGCCACCTGGAGGGACAGCCAGGAGGCACCTGTGCACCTGTCCCCGTCCCACCTGTCCCTGTCCCTGTCCCTCACCTGTCTCACCTGTCCCACCTGTCCCTCACCTGTCCCTGTCCCTCACCTGTCCCATCTGTGTCCCACCTGTCCCACCTGTCCCACCTGTCCCTGTCCCTTACCTGTCCCACCTGTCCCTCAGGAGAAGGCCGACCTGGGCGAGGTGAATTTCTCCCTCTGTTACCTGCCCACGGCCGGGCGCCTCACGGTCACCGTCATCCGCGCCTCCAACCTGCGCGCCATGGACCTCACCGGCTACTCAGGTGTGTCACGGGTGTGTCACAGGTGTGCTCAGGTGTGCTCAGGTGGGTCACGGGTGTGTCACGGGTGTGCTCAGGTGGGTCACAGGTGTGCTCAGGTGGCTCACCGGTGGGGGTTACCTGGGCACAGGTGAGGGGGCACCTGGGGCACCTGGGGGTTACCTGGGGGTACCTGGGCACAGGTGAGGGGGCACCTGGGGGTTACCTGGGGCAGGTGAGGGGGCACCTGGGGCACCGGGGGCGCCTGGGGGTTACCTGGGCACAGGTGAGGGGGCACCTGGGGCACCTGGGGTTACCTGGGGGTTACCTGGGGGTTACCTGGGCAGGTGAGGGGGCACCTGGGGGTTACCTGGGGCAGGTGAGGGGGCAGGGACACCTGGGGCAGGTGAGGGGCCACCTGGGGCACCTGGGGCAGGTGAGGGAGCAGGTGAGGGGGCAGGGGCACCTGGGCACAGGTGTGGGACAGGGACAGGTGAGGGGTCATGGTCACCTGGGGTCACCTGGGGACAGGTGTGGGGCAGGTGAGGGGGCAGGGACACGTGGGCACAGGTGTGGGGTAGAGAGGGACAGGTGAGGTACAGGACAGGTGTGGGACAGGTGTGGGACAGGTGTGGGACAGGGGGACACGGGTCCATGGACCTCACCGGCTACTCAGGTGGGTCACAGGTGTGTCACAGGTGTGTCACGGGTGTGCTCAGGTGTGTCACGGGTGGGTCACAGGTGTGCTCAGGTGTGTCACGTGTGCTCAGGTGTGTCACAGGTGTGCTCAGGTGTGTCACAGGTGTGTCACGGGTGTGAGACAGGTGTGGGACAGGGGGACACGGGACCATGGACCTCACCGGCTACTCAGGTGGGTCACAGGTGGGACAGGTGTGTCACGGTGTGTGACAGGTGGGGACAGGTGTGCTCAGGTGCGTCACAGGTGTTATTGGATCATTGGTTATTATGGGATATTTTGGGGTGCTCTGGGCTCTATGGGTTATTTTGGGGTGCTTTGGGGTCTGTGGGGTCTTTGGGTTATTATGGGGTCTATGGGTTATTTTGGGATATTTTGGGGTGCTCTGGGGTGCTCTGGGGTCTATGGGTTGTTATGAGTTCTCTGGGTTATTATGGGGTCTTTCAGGGTCTGTGGGGTTCTATGGGTTATTATGGGATATTTCGGGGTGCTCTGGGGTCTATGGGGTCTATGGGGTTCCATGGGTTATTATGGGGTCTATGGGTTGTTATGGGGTTCTGTGGGTTATTATGGGGTCTATAGATTATTATGGGATGTTTTGGGGTGCTGTGGTGTTCTATGGGTTATTTTGGGGTGCTTTGGGGTGCTATGGGGTCTATGGGCTGTTATGGGGTCTATGGGTAATTATGGGCTCTATGGGTTATTATGGGGTGCTTTGGGGTCTGTGGGGTTCTTTAGGTTATTATGGGATATTTCGGGGTGCTCTGGGGTCTATGGGGTTCCATGGGGTTCCATGGGGCTCTATGGGTTATTATGGGGTCTATGGGTGATTATGGGATATTTCGGGGTGCTCTGGGGTCTATGGGTCTATGGGGCTCTATGGGTTATTTTGGGGTCTGTAGATTGTTATGGGATATTTTGGGGTGCTCTGGGGTCTATGGGTTATTTTGGGGTGCTTTGGGGTGCTATGGGGTCTATGGGCTGTTATGGGGTCTATGAGTAATTATGGGCTCTATGGGTTATTTTGGGGTGCTTTGGGGTCTGTGGGTCTATGGGTTATTTTGGGGTGCTTTGGGTTATTTTGGGATAATTTGGGGTGCTCTGGGGTGCTCTGGGGTCTATGGATTTTCATGAGTTCTCTGGGTTATTATGGGGTCCTGTGGGTTACTGTGGGATCCTTTGGGGTCTGTGGGGTTCTGTAGGTTATTATGGGATATTTTGGGGTGCTCTGGGGGTCTATGGGTTATAATGGGGTGCTTTGGGGTCTGTGGGGTCCTGTGGGTTATTTTGGGGTCTGTGGGGTCCTGTGGGTTATTTTGGGGTCTGTGGGGTCCTGTGGGTTATTTTGGGGTGCTCTGGGTTTCTATGGACTATTTTGGGGCGCCCTGGGGCCCCATGCGGTCTGTGGGGCCCGCAGACCCCTACGTGAAGGCCTCGCTGATGGCCGAGGGCCGGCGGCTGAAGAAGCGCAAGACGTCCATCAAGAAGAACACGCTGAACCCCAACTACAACGAGGCGCTGGTGTTCGACGTGCCCCACGAGAGCGTGCACCACGTCAGCCTCACCATCGCCGTCGTCGACTACGACTGGTGCGCACTGGGGGCACTGGGAGGGGCCTGGAGGGGTTTTGGGGTCATTTTGGGTGGTTTTGGGAAGTTTTGGGTGGTTTTGGGGGGTTTGGGGTCATCCCGGTGTAATGGGATGCTCCTGGGTTGACGTCCTCCATGAGAAGGTCAACGTTGTCATCATTATTGGGTCCAACTGGTTTGTACTGGGAGGGCTCCTGATGGAGTTTGGGGGGTCTTTGTGGCTGTCTTGGGGTCTTGGAGGGGATTTTGGGTGGTTTGGGGTAATCCCGGAGCAATGGGACGCTCCTTGGTTGACGTCCTCCATGAGAGCATCAATGTTGTCATCATTGTTGGGTCCAACTGGTTTGTACTGGGAGGAGCCTGGGGGGGGGTCTTTGAAGGGAATTTTGGGGTCCTGGAGGGGGTTTTGGGGCAATTTTGGGGGATTTGGGGGCATCTGGGGTCATCCTGGAGGAATGGGAGGCTCCTTGGTTGACGTGCCCCACGAGAGCGTGCACCACGTCAGCCTCACCATCGCCGTCGTCGACTACGACTGGTGCGCACTGGGGGCACTGGGAGGGGCCTGGAGGGGTTTTGGGGTCATTTTGGGGGGTTTTGGGAAGTTTTGGGTGGTTTTGGGGTGTTTGGGGTCATCCAGAGCAATGGGACACTCCTTGGTTGACGTCCTCCATGAGAACGTCAACGTCTTCACCATCGTTGGGTTCAACTGGTTTGTACTGGGAGGATCCTGGGGTGTCTTGGAGAGAATTTTGGGGTCTTGGAGGGGGTTTTGGGGCAATTTTGGGTGGTTTTGGGGCATTTGGGGTCATCCCGGAGCAATGGGACACCCCTTAGTTGGCGTCCTCCATGAGAGAGTCAATGTTGTCATCATTGTTGGGTCCAACTGGTTTGTACTGGGAGGAGCCTGGGGGGGGGTCTTTGAAGGGAATTTTGGGGTCCTGGAGGGGGTTTTGGGGCAATTTTGGGGGATTTGGGGGCATCTGGGGTCATCCTGGAGGAATGGGAGGCTCCTTGGTTGACGTCCTCCATGAGAAGGTCAACGTTGTCATCATTATTGGGTCCAACTGGTTTGTACTGGGAGGGCTCCTGATGGAGTTTGGGGGGTCTTTGTGGCTGTCTTGGGGTCTTGGAGGGGATTTTGGGTGGTTTGGGGTAATCCCGGAGCAATGGGACGCTCCTTGGTTGACGTCCTCCATGAGAGCATCAATGTTGTCATCATTGTTGGGTCCAACTGGTTTGTACTGGGAGGATCCTGGGGGGTATTTGAAGGGAATTTTGGGGTCTTGGAGGGGGTTTTGGCTGACCCCACAAGGACCCCCAGGTCCCACAGGGACCCCCCATACCCCATAAAGACCCCCCAGATCCCATAGGGAACCCCTGACCCCATAAAGACCCTCCTGACCCCATAAAGACCCCTCAGATCCCGTAAGGATCCCATAAGGATCCCATAGGGACCCCCAGATCCCATAGGGACCCCCTGACCCCATAAAGACCCCCCCGACCCCATAGGGAGCCTTGGGGACCCCCTGACCCCCACAGGGACCCCCCAGATCCCGTAGGGGATCCCTGGAAGCCAAAGGGGACCTCGGGACCCCATAAAGACCCCTCAGATCCCGTAAGGATCCCATAAGGATCCCATAGGGACCCCCAGATCCCATAGGGACCCCCTGACCCCATAGGGACCCCCCCGACCCCATAGGGAGCCTTGGGGACCCCCTGACCCCACAGGGACCCCCCAGATCCCGTAGGGGACCCCTGGAAGCCAAAGGGGACCTCAGGATCCCTGACAGCGTCCGTCTGTCCCTGTGTCCATCTGTCCCTGTGTCCGTCTGTCCCCGTCCGTCTGTCTGTCCCCATCCCTGCCCCTCTGTCCATCCCCATGTCCCTCTGTCCCTCTGTCCGTCTGTCCCTGCGTCCCTCTGTCCGTCCCCGCGTCTGTTGGTCCCTGTGTCCATCCCCGTGTCCGTCTGTCCTTCTGTCCCTGTGTCCATCTGTCCCCATGTCCCCGTGTCCATCTGTCCGTCCCGTGTCTGTCCGTCCCCGTGTCCCTCTGTCCGTCTGTCCCGCTGTCCCCGTGTCCATCCCGTGTCCGTCTGTCCCTCTGTCCCCGTGTCCCCGTGTCCCTCTGTCTGTCCGTCCCGTGTCCATGTGTCCGTCCCGTGTCCGTGTGTCCGTCCCATGTCGGTGTGTCCGTCTGTCCCTCTGTCCCTGTGTCCCCATGTCCCTCTGTCTGTCCATCCCGTGTCCGTGTGTCTGTCCCGTGTCCCCCTGTCCATGTGTCCATCCCATGTCCCCTTGTCTGTTCCGTGTCCGTGTGTCCGTCTGTCCTGGTGTCCCCCTGTCCATCCCGTGTCCGTGTGTCCGTCCCATGTCCATGTGTCTGTGTGTCCATCCCGTGTCCCCGTGCCTGTCCCATGTCCCGTGTCCGTCTGTCCCCGTGTCCCCGTGTCCGTCCGTCCCGTGTCCGTGTGTCCGTCCGGTGTCCGTGTGTCCGTCCCGTGTCCTTGTGTCCGTCTGTCCTGGTGTCCCCCTGTCTGTCCCGGTGTCCGTGTGTCCGTCCCGTGCCCTGTGTCCCCCAGGAGAAGGCTGTGTCCGTCCCGTGTCCGTGTGTCCGTCCCGTGTCCGTGTGTCCGTCCCGTGTCCGTGTGTCCGTCCCGTGTCCGTGTGTCCGTCCCGTGTCCGTGTGTCCGTCCCGTGTCCGTGTGTCCGTCCCGTGTCCGTGTGTCCGTCCCGTGTCCGTGTGTCCGTCCCGCTCCCCCCGCGGCGCCGCCGCCCCTCCCCCCACAGGCTCTGGGGTCCCGGGGGGTTTCGGGGTCCCCCCGGGCTGGGGGGGCCGGAGCCGTTTAATCTCTTTTCTCTTTGTCTCCTCTCTCGCCCCTCCCCTCCCCTCCCCTCCCCCC